CGGTTGCATCTAGTCGTTAGCTGGCTGCAACTAGATGTAACCGCACTTGGGCTATTAGCCGTGACCATAAAGTAACACGGGCCACCGACGGACCGGACATGTGTAGCCATACGCAGGCGATCCTTTCTGGTATAAAGGTCACGCGGTCCTATGCGTACAATAAAACTAGTTGCAGTCTCACTGTTCAATAGACTAGCTCTAGTTGCATGGCTGAATCAACGACCTACAAAAATATCGAATTCTTCAGTTTTTCGCTGCAAAAATAAATCTGTCACGTCAAATTTACAAAGAGACCTTTCGTATATAAGTAATTTTTAATTACGTTATTGCTATTTAGTTCCTTTCAAACTTAAAAATTACAATAATAACGGTTTGTTGATTTGTTTTAGCAACGCAAGCCGCTCGCACTCATAGAATATACAGATCGGTCAAGTGACTGATCCGAGTCTGTATCAGAATTGTCACTGTCGCCGAGCGATACTGTTATAATGTATCTATGATCGTGAGGAATTTTGAGTTTATTGTTTTAATTGTTATGTGTGAGTTTCGTAGTTACAGGTGATTGTTTTTGTGTGCGCAAATTTCACCCTAAAATATAACAGACAGTTCTGTATCGGAAATAAAACGCTATGCTCTATGGTCGTCATATATACCTACACATATTTAATTCAGATACTAAAATTTATTTCTATTGTATTTTTTAATACTTTACCTTTACTACAACGGCTTAGGGAACCGAAGTCGTCTTTGACCAGAGCACATATTTTATATACTAATTAGTAATAATAATTATTTTATTAAAAATACTTTATTAATAAATCAAAATGATAAATAAGTAATCACAATAATAATAAATACTTAATAGAAATATATTTTAATATTATATATTAAGTACCTACCTACTCATGTGTTACGGACGTACTTGTTATGTGGTAGGTTGCAACTTGCAATTCAAGACAAAACATGCATATGCCAACCCCGGAGTTAGGTTTATGACTATAATTTAAGGTATGGACTGATGTTGAATTAAAAAGCTGAATATTCAATAAAATGTTAGTAATTAATAGTACAAGGCAAACAAATGAATAATTAATACTTGATTATTAACTATATATCACAAACAAGCTCTGTTGAAATAATATGCTGGCTTTATAGTATTTTCAATATTTTTATGCACAAACATGAAACTTAAATGAAAGTAAAATGTTTGAAACACCATATTTCCATAATGGACCGTCTTCGTCTTGTGATACTAGAGGTAACAGTGCCGCGGTAATGCTAAAATCAAAAGCACGTTTATAAAAAGAAAATAACCATGACTTAAAAATACATAATTTTAAGAATCAGATCGCGAAAACATTTATAATCTTGTGCTTGTAATTAATATTTAATAATATAAGTAATATTAATATTAAAAAAATGTAAGTTCATAATAGATTTGTGGTAAGTGGGCTTCTGATTTCAGCACATTCGTTTCGTTCCATTAAAATTAGATTTATCTTACAATTAAACTATTTAAAATGCATCACGTTCATTTTAGAAAAATATTAAATTAAATTAAAATATAAATACTAGAAACAACGAATAAATTGTCTATATTTTAAGTGTCCCACAATGAAATTAAAAAATTTAAATGAAAAAGAATTCAGATATTTAATTACCACTTTTAAAATGTATATTTTTCATGTGCAAATAAAAAATATGATAATTAATAGGCATAATTTCTAATTAATAATAATCGGCGTATCGGTTAAAATTATGAATTCAAAATTCCGCAAACATCTCTAAAAAATTGCCGTTTTACGCGTCTGTTATGCGTTCGTACCAGTTCGTACCTTTGTGTAAACTTGAAAAAATGAATTCTGGTTATGATTACTGTTCACATATTTCATTTATAATAAATAGTTATAATGTGTATAATTAATAAATTTAAGTATAGCTTATGCCTCCCATAAATAGCTACAATTTTTATTATGCTTTTTAGCCTTTAAGTTTTTAGTAGAAAAATCTTTAAATGTTTTAAGGCATTTGGTTCAGAAAACTGTTTAATGAAGATTAACACTACAAAGTTATTGTTAAATAACTTCATAGTGTTAATCTTCACAGGCAAAAGTTGCAAAATTATGCAATCTGCTTCATCATATCCGGTTCTTAAAACGGTTCCATTTGCAAAATGACTTCCACATTTTTGCATCACAAAGCGAATGTTACGAAAGTCATTGTGAACTAGAGATGAATGCTCGTACATTATAATAAGATGTTACGTTCTGTTTGCCGCGAAATGTACATAAAATCATGACATAGATGTCCTCATTTTAGTAAAAAGGTCTCAAAATTTTCTTTAAAATTATTTAGCCTTAATTTGGAATACGTGATTGTCCTCATTATAAGTGACTGGGTACATTAATTTCTTTAACCTCAATAACAAATCAGGGGAGGAAATAAATAGTAACATACAGTTACAGTGAAATAGATGGTAGGTATATCACTTAAAATAATACAAAATGCAAATACATTTTGTTCATAATATCGTGAAAAATTATTCCAAGTACTTGAAACGTTGCATAACAATGTTCAACAATGAGTGCTAAAATGGCACGATTCTAATTTCATGCGAGTTTCGCGCCAAGTAAAACGAAAGTGAGTTGGCGCGAAAAATGAATTGTCAAACGGACGATGCGAACGAGGATGGTTTCGTTTGTAATCGCGTTCACTTTCAATTTTATTAAGGGTTATTTATTATATAATATCGTGGCTACGACGACTAATACAAACATACCTTCATATAATATACATACTTAGCAAAGTCAATAAATTAATCCATAAATAAATTTGCATCACTTGCTAAAAGTCATTGAGGATGCCCAAAAACGCTTATTAATATAAAAAAAATATTTGCAAATTCTAAGCTTTCTATCGATTACAGTATAAAACAATGCAATTAAATTAAAATAAAGCAAAAAGTACCGTGGAGAAATTGTGTTCGCTCCAGTTAACTTCCGAAAAACCAGAGGCTTTCAATCGGATCGAATCGGTCAACAATTTTACGCAACAGCTGGTTGGCGAGTTAGAAGTAAAACAGACCTTAGCCAGTATTATTAAAAGAAACCAGTCTAGCTTGACTAAACATCAGCCTTCACCTGCAAAAATTCACATTGCATTTTAAATTTTGTGACTAATAGCGAATAGTCCATAAAGATCAGTTCAGTTTCTTCCTTCCTTTCGATTGATTACCAAGACCGAATTATAATATTCTGTCATATAATAAACTCTTTCGTTTCATTTACGTAAATTTACGCAAAAACACTGAACGCTGTTTTCTTTAGGAAGTACAATCACTTAGGTCGTTTATCGAATTCCTACGGTCATGTTTTGGAAAGCTAAGGCGAAAGTAGTCGTCTCTGCAAGGTATGCCGTGTAACCAATCACAAATAGTCTTGATACTTGTTTGTAATATAACCTTGGGACTAACCTCTAACTTTTTAAGTAACATTTTGGTGATTAAATATCATCTTTTGGTCCTGATCTTTTCAACAAATTTTAAAAGGATTTTTATTTAAATATAACAAATTTTTGTGAAACGTTTTACTCGACATTATGGAATATCTTTAAACAGAATTTTAAAAAATCTGTAATAAGTACCATCAAACACTCTTTAATGCCTCATAAAAAATGAGGCTTTAAAAACTCTGATAAAATTTAGAGAATATCCTTTAGAAAATATTTTACTTCAATTCTATGCGTAAGTAAAGGCTCACGCTGTTGAACTATTTATAAACTAATTACATTTAATGAAACTGCTTTACGTGTTTATTTAAATTCAGCCATTTGTCAAACAAGATTATACCAATACATCATAACTGAAAAATAAAAAAAAATTGAAATATATATTTATGTTTCACCACTTTAGTCTGTAAAAGTCCGCTCTAGACGTAGGTTTCTCCAAGATAAGTATGTAAATAAATCTGTATTATCGCCGCGTTACAACCTGACCATGATCTATTGGTATTTGATAAAGTTATTTAGCTACCAGTCGGATACTTCCAATTTTTTTTGCAAATTTCCTGAACTGTGTTTACGACATTTTTTGAAAGGAAATGGAATAATAATTATTTATATTGTGGCAATTAGGCTGTTTATTATAATTATTACTAAGGAATATTTACTCTTGCTTTAAAATCTCCCACATGATAATCATAAGAAAAGAGAAAGAGTAGCAAATTATTTCACTCTTTTACTGTGCGCATTATGAACGATGTAACAAACCGTTTAATTCGAATGCGACATTGATGACAACACTCTTGCTATAATCAGAAGTAGGTTAAGATACAGTGTCTCAAGAACACAACCAGACCAAAAAACAAAGCATCATCTATTACATAAATAGTGATGTCAACTGGCATTCAAACCTACGGACCACGACAAAGTAGCCAAAAATACCAAAAGTATAGTTAAGTAAAGTTACAGCCCATATACGTCAGGTACAGGCCTCTACCTATATCCAAGGGGGTTATGGAGTTCTAAATGAATGTATAATTCTAGATTAAACTAAAAAAGTAAAGTAAAGTAGTATAAAAATATTTATTTGACACGAAAAAAATACAACGTTACAATGTAACGTGGAATTTTAATAAATTAAGTAATGGTATTATGCAACATTAAACATTCGATAGATTTGAAGTCACCTTTTTCTAATACTCAAACGGATGACTAGTGATGTCTATTTTGTTTTCTAACTCTACTTAATAATATTTTAATGAGGTGTTATGTAAACAGTTATAGCTACATAATCATTGCTTATAGTGAGACGCGAAGAAAATGTTATCGAGTTGCGAGCACTGACAGAAAGTGAAAAGAAACGCGTTACGCCGGACGCGCCTTTACTTCCGAAATTCAACTTTCCGCGGCCGGACGTCTCAAATAAATAAAAAAAACGAATAGATAATAAAATAAAAAATGTATAACTGTGATCAAGCAATGTGTAAAATAAAAAAGTGAAAATGTGTTTGGCTCGACACGTAATACCCGATGCGGCGGCGGAAAAGTTTCAAAAAAAGAACTTTAAAATACGTAGAAGAATCTGTGGCATAAAGGTTGAACTTGGAACTTTTTTATTTTTAATCGTGTCAGCTGCTTTTTTAAATAGTGCGCGTTCGGAAACTGATAACGATGTATTGACATTGGAAGATTTGAATTTAAAAGATGAAGAAATTGCAACAGATAGACGAAAACCTGCAAACGAACAAGAAAAAGACATCCTTCTGCTTGATGCTTTAGGGAGAAGAAAAGGCTCATATCACAACTCATATGGCACCTCACAAGAAGAAGACTCTATTATGGACTTATTGGGAAAAAGTAAGTAATTATATATTCAGTATCCAATTAATAATGAATTTATTTTAAAAAATCATTATGGTGATTAACTTTTGTAGCAAAAATATTGATTCAAAAACAATTTATATTTAAGTAATATTTACAAAATTTTTAACCTAAGACTAACCTACTAGCATCAAAATTTGTTTTTAAATGTCTTCGAAATAACTATTTCCCATTATATAACTGCTATCAGATTATATTCATTTACTGGTCTAAAAATAATTAATAATAATAATGGTATGTTAAGACACAATTATTTTTCTTTTTTCTTTTACATAGTAAATAGATGCTTGCAAAAATCTTTACATTTATTCTGTCCGTGTGTGTGTATGTGACTGAACTCCGTCTAAACTACTAGACCGATTTTGATGAAATTTTGTGTGTGATGTTGATTTGAGAATGGCTTAGGTTACAATTGGACCCGACGAAGCTTATTAGCTTACGACGCAGCTTACTAGATTACTATGGGGCGGATCGCTAGTACTCTAATTATTTTGATTTTTAATGTACGTACGAAACGATTGTGACGCTTTATTAAAAAATTCAGTCATCCAGTACAGTCTATCCAAAGCCCAAAGAGCATAGCCTTCCCCATAGATTGGCCTGATGGGAGTATATTTGTTTTAGTTGTCACGTTTGGCAGACGGATTGACGATTGTAGTTTTATTATTATTGTTTATTATTGAGTTATTATTAGGAAGTGCAACATACGTAGCAACCTATCTCCAGTTTCATTTCCATGTGTCGATTCCTACGATTCTCTTACGCCCTCGCTACACAGTGCTTTTTATTATTATTTTTTAATTTTTATTTTCTAACTATTTAGCGTATTTTAAAAAACCCCTAAATAATAATAAAAAATCATTGTATGTTATATCGGAATCGTCTAACGAGTTCCAATTTCATAGAATTATATTTTAATCTTAGTTTAATTTATCCCCGTTACCTTAAGTTAAGCGCTCGCTCGCTCGCTCTAAATTTAACAGTACGGTGACAACCCGGATTTAATACCCGGCGGTACGAATCTCTAGTCTAATCTATCTTTAAGCCAAGATTTACCATGTTAGTGATGAAGATAAACATCGTAATGAAACCTGTATATCAGAGAAATTAAAAAAAATGTCAAAAACTTGTTTTGAAGTTGGTAATCACGCATTATAGGCTCTAACTTATTTTTTTATTTAACAATAGTCTTATATTTTTCATAATTCTACAAAAACCAGGACAGTTATCTAATTGGTAAAGATATATTCCTGATAGACACAATTGTAAAGCAATGGAAGCTAAACGAGTTATACGACACAGGCTATTTGCGTCAGTCCCCGTTTTCAATATCGGCTATGAGGACAGAAATATTATAACTAAATAATTGCTTTATAGCAGTATCTAATGTATACGTGAATGTATTAGCCCACAAGAGATATTTTTAGCCGACTTTGGCCGAACGGAGTAGGTCGTCAATTCGACTGTATGTTTTTTTTTTGTATGTGTTATGCAATATCTTCGTGATAGAATTTTGGCAACCGATTTTTATAATTAAATAGTGTATACTACAGGAGTGATATCCTATAAAATTGCACCACTAAGGATAAACTACAACTTACACTATTTCTTAACACCAACTTCAGAATCAGAAGGTATTATAATGGTAATTATTTTATTGTCTTTTGGAAGGAAGTTCCTTATCGGATGGTACGTGTTTGGCGGAAGGGAGCTAGGCGACAAAAAGTGTAAGATTTTTCGTCACTACCCCTTGTGTCATAGTGTATTTTACTTTAAATGACGCTTCATTTTAATAGACGCTAGTAATACATTTATTTGTATTTGTTAATCAATAATATAATACGTTTATCAATAATAAGGAGTTTCGTTCCAGCCGAGTGTTCCACAGCACTCACGCATGTTTTTAGTTTTTAGAACTCGGCTACAACTTTTTTTAAATACTTGAGATCCGCCCCGACTTCGCACGGGTGATTTCTGGATCTCGACAACAGCGCCACCTACCAATTGTGAATCACAACCATTCTCGAACCAACTTAATTACACACACGAAATTTCATGAAAATCTGTCCAGCCATTTTCAAGTTTTTACAAGACTAACGGACAGCAAGTGACGTTTATATACATACTAGCTGTTCCCCGCGACTTCGCCCGCGTGTTATTTGGGGTTTTAATTTTTTTGCGCGGAATCCTAATTCTTTTTCAAAAATAAAAGTAGCCTAAGTTACTCCTTGTGACATCAGCTATCTGCCAGTGAAAATCCCGTCAAAATCGGTCCAGCCGTTTCGGAGATTAGCTGGAACAAACAGACAGGCAGACAGACAAAAACTTTAAAAATTGTATTTTTCTTATTAATACCGTATATACTTTCTTTAGCATTTTGTAAAAAGCTGTAATTTTGACATTACAAACAGACACTTCAATTTTATTTGTTTGTATAGATATAGATTAATTAACGTACATGCAAATGTCGTGTGTAGAGTGTACAGTTAATATCAAAATTATTATGTGTTACGGCACGTCGCGGACTTTCTCTTATAATGTAAGGGTTCTTACATACATCATTCGCGTCTAGGCGTTTTGAGGACGTTGAATGTGTTTCTGCATACCTTTTATTGCGCAGATTTCCCTACTTAGATTTAAGTTAGTGCTATCAAGGTAATAATCAACGTTATTATTTGCACTTAATGCTATTCGATTTACGAGTAATTGCAAATTTCGCTTGGAGGTTATCAATTTATTTTTGAAATAGGAAACATTTTCACATATATTTTGAGTAACATATATACGGTATTAAAAAAAAAACCGGATTTTATAAGGTTCGCAGTCAAAATAACAGCTGTTTACTAAATACATATGAAATTATATACGGTATTTATAACAAACCACACTTTTTAAAATTTTTGTCTATCTGTCTGTCTTGAGATAAGCCGGAACTGTTTGTTCCGGCTAATCTCTGAAACGGCTGGACCGATTTCTACGGAACTTTCACTGGCAGATAGCTGATATTATAAGGAGTAACTTAAGCTACTTATATTTTAGAAAAACAATTAGGCTCAACATAATTAAAACCCTAAATTAGGCGCGGGCGAATTCGCGGTCAAAAATTTTGACAGCTCCTTAGAAGCTTTACCTCTGTACAGTTTCTTTACTCGTGTGTCCACAGGGAAAAAAATAATTAATATTTACTTAAATAAATCGATTACACAAGGTATAAAATCGGTATAGGCTGTATGGTACATTTGTTCATTTTCTATCAAGGGCTAAAAAATATGAAGGCTCTTTCAAATTTTTAGTAACAATAAAACTTATAAAAGTTGAAAATCATTTTATCAACAAACTACGCGTACTAGGCTATTGATATGAAATAGTTAACCAGCGATAAGTCATTTTTTTCGGGAGTTATCGTGACCACATACAAAATCAATATCCGGACGTCCACGTTATTTTTTTTTTTTTCAAAGAAGCGATATAAAATGATTTTTAGACAATATAATATGGATTAATTAGTGTTTCCTCGATATACGGCTACTCATATTATCGTATAAGTGCAATATGGTTCTGATAGAGGCATTTTCAGAATACTAAATTGCTTGACCTTGACATATCGAGAGTAAAGCTTGACGTGTCGAGAGTAAAGTACTACATAATAACGTTTCGCGTTATCAGGCGTGCAATATATTAAAAATTACAGTTGTAAAACTAAAATAGAACAATTGTTACACTTTTATATTCAATCGGGTTATAATTTATTCAAGGGATAACTTTTATCCGACGATTGATAATAGATCTAAGTAAAATAAAACTTATTAAACGGAAGATAATGGCTCAGTCAAAATTGGAAGATAATATATACCTATTAGAAGATATTATAAAAAAAAGCCTAATTCAATATTAGCCTATTTACGTCCCACTGCTGGGCACAGGCCTCCTCTCATTTCTGAGAGGGTTTTAGGGCAAGGAAATGTCCGCCGCGCTGCCCTAATGCGTGTTGGCGAACTTCACATGTCTTCGAAATATTTTTATTTCTTATTTCTCAGACATGCAGGTTTCCTCACGATGTTTTCCTTCACCGCCGAGCACGTGGTAAAACAGCACCTAAAATTGCAATTAACAATTTCATTGGTGCCGGCGGGGATCGAACCCGGGTTGCTCGAGTATTGTGAAGCTTACAGCGAGCGCTAACCATCTGAGCTACCACGGCTCATATTATCTCATATTTTCTCTTCATCATCATCATCATTACAGCCCTTCACAAGTCCACTGCTGAACATAGGCCTCCCCCAAAGAATGCCACAAAACACGGTCCTGAGCCACCTGCATCCATCGACTTCCTGCATGTCTTACCAGGTCGTCACTCCATCTCGTGGGGGGACGCCCTACACTTCGCCTACCGGTACGAGGCTGCCACTCGAGAACCTTTCTTCCCCATCGGTTGTCGGTTCTTCGAGCTATATGGCCGGCCCACTGCCACTTCAGCTTACTAATCCGTTGGGCTATGTCGGTCACTCTGGTTCTACTGCGGATATCCTCATTCCTAAGTTTATCACGCAGAGAAACTCCGAGCATAGCCCTCTCCATAGCTCGCTGAGCGACCTTGAGCTTCCTCATACGGCCAGCAGTGAAGGACCACGTCTCAGTTCCGTAAGTCATCACTGGCAACACGCACTGGTTGTACAATTTCGTTTTAAGGTTTTGAGGTATGTCTGACGAGAAGATGTGTCGTAGCTTCCCGAACGCTGCCCAGCCGAGTTGAATCCGTCGATTGACCTCTCGGTCGAAGTTGGACTTACCCAGTCGGACTATTTGTCCCAGGTAAACATACTCGTCAACAACTTCGAGCTTAGTGTTCCCAACAACTATCGGCATAGGTGTGACATGGACATTAAACATGATCTTAGTTTTATATAGTCCTTATGGCAGAATCGCTGGAGGACCTAAGCACTATGCTCAATGACCTCAATAGTGTTTCCCAACGG